CTCCTTCAACAAGGCATTCTCTTGGAGAAGAGGATCAGTGTCACACTGTGAACCTATTAATGACTATACATTGCAATTGGTCTCCATCACATTAAAACATAAGTATCTTTTGTGTGTGTGAGGAGGAGCATGTTGATTTTATTAACTGCAGCTACCTGCCATTAAAGCATCATAATAAAAAGTCAACATCAATTTTGGTATTCAAAATGTAATACAGTCAACCCTTGTTATATCAAACTCAATGGGACCGAGGAAAAACTTTGAGATATCCGAGGATTCAAGATTTCCAGGGTAAAATACTTAAACAATAAGGGGTTGGGACTTCCAAATCACTTCGACATATCCATGGTATTCGAGATATCAGTGTTCGAGATACCAAAGTTCATCTGTATTTACATTCCACATGCTGTTTGCTTATAAAGTGTGTGCAAAGCTGTGACATTCAAAATACCATAACCAGGACACGGGGTCAAAAGATTAAAGTATGCATTTTATTTTAACGTTAAAAATGTTGAAGGCCATGCAAGTGCAATATCATTTAAGCAAAAATTAAAAATCACACTCAGATTGAAAAGATTGCAATTGCTCTAAGTCTTCCATTAATTGTAACTTAGCGAAAGGATAATACAGGAGTTTTGAAGTGAAAATCATGTTTGCACACAAGACAAGGAGTTACAAATGTAAATATAAACATTGAATCATTTTCTTTTTAAAGACATTGTCTCATAACAGCAACGCGGTGTGAGCAAACAAATTTTCATAACACACTAATGCATGTTGCTCAACTTGTTGCAGTTATGGGACTATATCTTTCAAAAAATAATTCAATACTTAGAAATAAGTTAACTTCAAAGCAAATACTTTTGGGAAAATAAACAGTCCAAACCTTCATCAGCTGTAAGGACTACACCTATGTCAATGTCATCATCTTCATGAAATACATTTACATTGTACAATTTCCCTGGAGATGCCTGCTGCTCTTCAGGGACACTGTAGCTATGCATTCTTATGGATGCCTCTAGTCTGGTTCTCTCTAAATGTTCTTGTTTTGCAGCTGCTTCCTCAAAAGTCTAGGGGAAAAAATCAATTACATCTAACAATAATATTACAAATAAAATTAACTCTAAGCTTCGAAAACAAAAGATAAACCTCATGTTAATTGTTTATGCTTTATTCCTTAAATTTAAATATTTTTTCATTAAACACAGATATACAAAGTAAATGCACATTTTGACAAACAAAATATGTACTACACTAAATGTATAATACGGCTGTGCAGTTATATAAATATGATAAGTGCTTCTTTCCATCAAATTTAACCAGCAAATTTAACGTATATGGATAGATCTTACTTTATGGCACTAGTAGAATCCAGGTTCCCCATATAAATGACCAGCATACTTTGACCAGCAAAGATGGGGTAGCTTGTGAAACTTTTCAAAACAAATAGCAACTGCACACTGAATATTTCAATTATTTAACAGTTTGACAGTTGCACTATTGTTAAGAGGACAGTTTCAATTAATCAAATCACTAATCTAAAACAAATAAGTAACTGTGCCATATTTACACCAGGAAAATCTAAATAACCAGAAAAATTAGCACATTAATGAATATTAAATGACTTGCAGTGACTTGTACATATTTGAAATGGGATGAAATATTTAATCTTAATAGACTTTAATAAATAAATTTGGTACAATAAGACGTATTTAGCCTGGAATTGCGACCAGCTCAAATCAGGCTAAATGTCACGTCAAATTAATGGGTATAAGGTAGACAACAGAGGAATCTCGGGTTGACATGTTTGTAATGCATGTTGAAATAAGATATTCGTATTATATAATACAAATTATCATACCTTTGTCAGATTTCTCCTGAATGCTCTTGTAAATCTTTCACTGTTTTGTTCCTTTGTACACTTATAAGAAAATAATGTCGGCCTGTAATTACGGTCTTCACGGTCATCCGAGTGCCAACCCGTCTCGAAATGTTCACTGCATATCCTGCTGCTGCTGTTAGGCAACCAGCCTTTCCTGTTAACAGCATTAACCCATGCTCGCCTTTTCGTTTTATTTGCAGGAAACTTAAAAAACGACACCTTACAGTCCTTTGTGGCTCGGTTAGTACACCCAACAACACAACAACTTTTCACCATGATTCTTTTTGCCACCCCATGGTACTTCAGCGCATGCGCGATATTTAATCCCGCAGTTAAGCAAAAAGGGCTTATTAACCACGTGATATGCATAACCTCATCTGATTGGTCAATATCGTAAAGACCAAGTAGTAAGTGTAAGGGGCACCCAAAGGGATAATGATTAAATAATAAATTACATAAGTTATTGGTAATACAAAAATTTTGCATATAAAACAATTTATTGTACCAATAAATGTTTATTTAATGAATTTCAAATTTATCATATTTTCTTAGTTGTGTGATCGCACGCAGAATCTTTGCCGATCGTAAAAAACGTTTGGTACGTGTACACTTCAAATCTTTATTTTGACGCTTTCTGTTTGATATTACGGTCATCATAAATTTACGGTCATCCCACTTCACTGAATAAACTTCAATTACGGTCATCTTAATATTTTGTTACGGTCATCATTCTAAAAACAACTTTGAGGTCGTACTACAGCTTTATTTTCTTAAGTTCGAGTAAGCTACAATAACCAATAGCAAATTTTCATTAGCGTACATTCAATTTTCAGCGAAATTTACACAGATATGCTAACAAATGTTTGATATCTTGATAGAAAAATTCTTACCGATCAGCTCGGCCGACATGTTTTGATGACCGTAAACTATATTATGGTCATCAGCTTTCCTACAGTGCAGTCGGTAGAGCGCTCGCTCTGTGATCGGGAGGTCGTGAGTTCGAATCTTGGCCGCGACTGACCTAAGTCGATAAAAAATGGGTAGCAACTGTTCCTTCGCCATGCGTTCGGCACTTTGAAGAGAAAGTTGCGGGTCCTTCGGATGAGACCTTAAAAACTGAGGAGCTGTGTCACGGCAGGCGTTGGCACGATAAAGATCCCTCACTGCTCAATGGCCCTGAGTGCCGAGTAAAGGTCAGAAATTGAAGCCCTTCACTGGTATCTGGTGACTCTCTATATGCGTGAAAAATTCTCGAATGGGACGTTAAACAACATACAATCAATCTTACAAGAATGGGACAAGAAATATAAATTTAGAGAGAAAAAATACAGTTCCATATTTATCTGAATAATACGATAAAACAATACGTGAAAGAAATGGTTAGGGGTTAGATATTAAGTATAACTACAAATGGGGAGGGAGAATAGGTGGTAAATTATCTTTTTCAAAAAATATTTTACGTCTTATTAAGATTATATATGTCCCCTTTACTCCTAAAGCAAAGAAAACTTTCGTTTAATTCTGTTGATATATCTTCAAAACGTTAATACGAGCTTAAGCTGAAGTATTAATAGACAGAACTCTCTGAATTGAATACTGATCAAAGAGGTTACAACCTTCTTATACGAAATTTCAAATTTATACGAATGCACACGATGCATACAACTGCTGCGGTTCCCAAGACTTTAGGCAGTGTCTGTGAGTTAACACCACACGACGTCGGCGTTTTTAGTCCCCTAAAACCGAAGGGGACTATAGGTTTCCTCTGAGTTTGTCTGTCTGTCCTCTGTCCGCCTATCTCTCCGTCACATCCGTCATTGAGAATTTTACAATGCTTAAATAACAAAAAATGCCATACTTAAAAATGACAACTGGAACAATAGGAGCTTTTTAATTACAGAATAAATTTGGGATCACAACTCTCTCTCTCTCTCTCTCTCTCTCTCTCTCTCTCTCTCTCTCTCTCTCGAAAACAGCCGAAATTTCAACTCTGAGAATTACAAACAATACCTCTAGCATTTGAACCCATAGTATTCAGTAACATATTTTTTAAAGCAAAAGCGATTGAGTATATAACTTTGTATCAAATTAAATTTGATGAAATGGTTTGTACACGTTTATAAAAAGGTTAGATATAAGGAGAAAAAAATATATTTGAAATTTGCCAGAGAATCTTTAAAGATATTGATTATATCATTTAAAATTCCCGTCTGTCTAGCTGTCCCTCTGTCTGTCTGTCAGTCTGCCCCACTTGGTTTCCGCACATTTTTCTAAACGCTTGCAGATACTGAGCTGATTTTTGGTACATGTGTATATTGATGAATTACAGATCAAGTTTGAATTTCGCTCCGCTTCATTGATTTTTGAGGGAATTTCGCCTTTTTATTTTTTAAGGGTTTCCTTTTTTTCTAAACGTTTGAAGATAATGAGCTGACTTTTGGTATATAAGTGTATCTTGATGAGTTAAGGATAAAGTTTTGATTTCGTCCCGCTTTACTGATTAAATGGGAATTATAACCTTAAGTTTTTAATTTTTAATGGGAACCAGATTTACCTTGGCGGTTGTGGACTAGTATTTCTTATGCAATACTCTCAGAATGCTTGTTCTAAATAAAAACCATTCTCTTTGTAAATCAAAATCAAAACTTCAGGTGGACATACATAACTGTCCTGCATGTTAACACTGATATGTTCTTTGTTGCGTGAAGTTTTTGACCCACCTTGAAATTCCTTATTCCTTCTTCGTCTGTGTTTTCGTCTTTTAATCATTAAAAAGAGCAATACAATACAAAGAAGAATCACCACTGTCATTGCAAGTAATCTAAAAAAAAAAAAAACAATTTATATAATATATATATGTACACTAGGAACTAAATACTGAAAAAAAAAATGTCTTCTTTTAAGCTGAACTTACATATACACAATGGTGTATTTGGAGTCCTCTTCGGGTACAAAGGTCACATTTTTATTAGTTGGTGAAAATGTTGATGTCGAATTTAGTAATTTACAAGTTTCATCTACAATGAAATACGTATAGATATTATTTCCAAGAAATGCTCATGTTTTAAAAATGATAACAATACATTGAAATCATTTACTTTATGTACTCACACAGGTGTGCTTCTGAGGACAAAAATCTGTCGGGACACGTAGAAGCCTGACTACAATTAATGTTATCATATGTTTGAAGTTCTGTGTCGTTATACAGCACACATACACCTATAAAAAAATAAAACATTTATTAAGCCATAAAAAGTGTTGAAAACTGTTTAATGAAATTTCAACCGTTTGGGATTAGATTTTTAATGTTTTGTTATCATTAAAAATGATAAAGATATACTACACAAACAAATAAGTTGATGCATTTATTGATGTATAAACATTGTCTGGTTTTGAATAGAAATGACATACATGATATATTTTGTAATAAAGAAAAATAAATATTAGAACTTCTAAGTCTCTCTATGAGTGGAATATTCTTGAATGGGACTTTAAAGAACATACAACCAATCTATAGTGTTCCAACGTGCAATTTTATGAATCTATACAACTTTTTAGACACACATTGGATAATCTTATTAAAATATTTAACAAATTTTCTATATTCAATATAACAAATATTATGAATTAAACGATTTTATTAAAAAATATATATTAAAAATAAATAAATAAAACAAGAAAATAAATGACAAGTTTGGCCTTCCAGAAAGCCTGAAATGTTATGTCTTTGGCTTCAAAAATGTCACAGAAAATCTGTGAAATGTAACTGTTACATTTTTTATCGGCTATTGCATTCCATTTACACAACAGGCAGAAGAATCGTTTTTAAAGAGGGGGGAGGTGTTAGGGAAAAAATTACCTAAACAATCTTTGACTATAAAAAAGGGAGAGTGTCCAAACTCGTTCATCCTATTTTGTGGGTAATGGGGAAGATTTTTCTTTTTTTCTTTTTTTTTTTTTTTTTTTTTTTTTTTTGTCTTTTCGAAAAACACTTTTATTTGAGGAAGATATTATATATTATAACAAGAAGGGGAAGCTGCCTTTCAGTGAATATTTGCAACAGTACAATATTATGAAGGGGTAGCCCTCCTGATGACACGTGCCTGTTATATTAAATCTATGTGAAATATCTTTTATTTATTTCATTTTTTGTACAGTGTTAAAAATAAAAGAAAAACTAAACATTATTCGCAAAAATTTGTAAACAATAGAACTACAAGAAGATGGGCTAAACCAAAGCGTCCGTTTTGCTTTTATTTTACAGTCGCTTTCTCTGATAGCTTTTAAAACTCTAACTGAAATTAGTTCAGCCCTCAATTCCGAATTCTTGATTTCCAAGATTATCCTTAGTCTTATTAACTAAGTGACCTGGTTATCAAGCCACTGGGGATAAGAGAAGATAAATAACTCTTACATCAAAACTTTCCACTGTCCAGATTCAAATTTTGTACGCTTTATATAAGTAAATGCACATTCTACTGACAAGAGCGAAAAAATGCCATCAACGTAATTGCAATACAAATAGTCGACTGTTTCACATATAGCTTATAGAAAATAATAAAGCTCACATGAATAGAGGTAAGTAATAAAATTCAAACGTTTTAAATCAACTCAAATTTAAGATTTTACAAATAAAATGAAATATAGTCCCGATTTATCAACCTTGATTTTTATGATGATCTTGGAAATAGTAATGATGTTGACTTTATTTCAAGAATTTGACATTTTTGGCCATTAACAAACAATACAATTTAAAATGATTTCAAGTGCTTTAAATATTAAATCTTAAAATGTGAGTCGTGTAACGAAAATTGTCCTTTATGCAGGTGTAACAATATTGTATTTCTTACAATTATTATTTAAAGAAAAATAGTATAGTGCAGCCATCATGCGTTAAAATACTCAATATAACTCTTTAAGATCATTCTTCCATTGCCTGTTGTTTCTTAAGTAAGAGATATTTTTGTCTCCGCTTAAAATATGTTTTACTTTTGAAATTTTCTTTGCTCAAAATACAATCACTGAATAAGATTTGTTTTATTTTAAGATCACTGTTATCGAATGACTAAAGTACACATAAAGTAAAATTTTCGCATTAATTCACATCAGTTGTGTTTGCCTGACGTCAAGCAGTATAAGGATAATTTTTTCCATGGTCCGAAACTACATGTAAGAGATCATACTTAGTGAGCTAGATTTGAACTAGAAATCTGATTTACACCGGAATTTGTTATCTGCATTTTAACAAAAACAGTTCGCATAAAACAGAATCATATAACTGAAGTAAATCAGTGACTTTTTTTTTTGCTTGCACCTGTTTATTCTTTGCGATTCTGTATGCAGACATTCCGTGTTACAGTGTTTTTTTTCTGCTTTTTTAAACTATTGCAATAGTCTATTTGTCTTCACTAAAGAGGTGACACAATCATTTCGCGCTAAATGTCAAATCGTCACTTTTTTTTCTAGGAATGTTTTATTGAAAGGGTGTGATAACTTCCATGGAAATTATTAAGTATATTCTTTTCACGTCATTCTTAAGGTTCAGATATCTATAAATTTATTTTCTTTTTCAATAAATAAAATACAACATAAAATACGACGTCTCTGTATGAGTGAAAAATTCATGATCATACAATTTTTTTTTTCAAATTTTATTTATATGTATGTATAACTCACTTTTATTCCTCTTATTTGAGATACAGTAAGTACCCTTAGCTAAATTTTCACTCATTCCAATAAGTTTCTATTCTTCTGATGGATCGCAAAGAAGCTACAGTTTTTTTTTAAATCATGATGTTTTGCACATGTATAAAGTCTCTGGTTAGTTAAGCAGTTTTGCTTAATTCTCTATATTTAGAAATTCGATTCAACCCACTGGTTCAATGATCATTCGGAGTTCCTTGGTCGGCTCGTGCCTCGCACTTTGTATGGAGCGTAACTGAGTCAGCTGAGGATTACCGATTGATCAATGGCAGCTTACACTGGGACTTCACATCCGGGTTTTAAACTTACAAGATGTCAAATACTTTCAAAAGGCACAGACAAAATTGTTTCTCCTTGATAATTTAGCTCATTGATGATTTTAAATAAAATCCATATTCAAAACAAATTATTCTTTGGGCTATTTTTTTTTTCGAAATTATATTCAAATGATTCATTCAGAATGATGCTATAAACACTTACGACGTAATGAGACCTTACGATGTTGTTTTGGCCTTATTTGCAGTGCAGCAAAGCAAAACAAGAAATAAAATCGATAAAAAAAGAGAAAATAATACCCACAGTAGGGTGGTTGCTTCTAAATGTACTTTCGCGCCGTGATTCGAAGCTTGTGGGTTCAAACCCCCGACTGCGACTGACGTTAAGTGGACTAAAAATAGGAAGCAGTTGTTTGCCAAGCGCTCTGCGATTTGAAGTGAAATTTGTGGGTCTTTCTGGTTTTAAAAGGTGTCACGACAGAAGTTGGTACAAGAAAGATACCTAAAAAAATACTATAGTAAATAGTTAATTATAGTTTACTATTGTTTACTATAGTAACGAATTAAATACTTTGGAACTTTTATTTACTACAGGAAAAAAAATGGAACTTTAATTTACTATAATAAACTTTACAGCTTTGATTTACTATGGGAAAAAGTCTAGAACTTCAGCTATAGTAAAAACTTCAGAAATGCTGGAGAGACAAATGTATTCATATTGACTGCACACCACATGGATCGTTAGAGACTAATACAGCAGTAAAACGTGATTGATGTTTAATAAAAAATAATACAGTGTGTGATATTTTGGATTATGAGAACAGATCTAGAATTGAAAATAAATATATAAATTAGGGTTGAATTTTTTTTTTTCGGAGAAAAAAATAATTTGATGAAGAATTATTTGGTCAAGATAAATAATGACGTGAACAAAAGAATTCGTTTTTTTTGTTATGAAAATTTAGAAATCTAAAAAGAAAATAAATTTGTACATCGTCAAAGAAGAGATCATCTATGCTTAAGGACATCATGAATGATTGATTATACGTTGCTTAACGTCCCATTCGAGAATTTTTTACTCATATAGAGACGGCACCATATACCGATGAAGGGCTTTAAATTTTGACCTTTACTAGGCACTCAGGGCTATTGAGCAGTGAGGGATCTTCATCCTGCCAACGCTTGCAGTGACACGGGGCCTCGGTTTTTAAGATCTCATCCGAAGGACCCGCAACTTTCACTTTAAAGTGCCGAGCGCATGGCGAAGGAACAGTTGCTACCCCTTTTTATCGACTTAGGTCAGTCGCGGCCGAGATTCGAACTCACGACCTCCCGATCACAGAGCGAGCGCTCTACAGACTGAGCTACCGTGGACGGTAGGACATCCTGATGATGAGTGTCGCAGGCAGGCCGAATGGTCGCATCATAAAAGGAATACAAGGACTGTTCTTTGACTATATTACATTTATTAGCTTTGTACAAAATCTAAAATTTCAAGATGGTTCGCTGTTTGGGCTGAATGGCTTCCTGGACCATATGTGATATACAAAATTATTGTAAATCATATATATTATAACATCTGTATCTAAAATATACTAACAGGATTTGTGCTCGTGCATATCATAACATTTACTGCAAATACTATAGCATTTTACTGCATACTGCATTTTACTGCAAATACTCTAGCATTTTACTGCATACTGCATTTTACTGCAAAAACTATAGCATTTTACTGTATACTGCATTGTACTGCAAATACTCAAGCATTTTACTGCATACTCCACAAAATATACGAAATATTTGAGTACTTTACACACGTACTTTACACCATACATTGTAGCTACTACATACTTTAATGTACTTGTATACTATTAGAATAATACTTGAAATGATATCAATGCACAAATTACTCAATCACATAATTTACATCAAAATGAAGAACTAAGGTCCTTGGCCATTTCAGGAAACTCTATAAAATAAAAACCTTTAAATTAATAAAAGAAACTTACCTCAGAAGAGATGTGAAAGTCTGGTCAATACTTTATAAAGAATACTATTGTCAATATTCGAGCAAGTCAAGTGCGTCTGCTCTACTCAATTGCTACACCCAAACTGACTAAAAAACGGCACGGGATTTAAACCCCCCAAGTAAATTCTACTGAACGAATAAAATGTTACGGAACACAGTTATGACATTTAAGTTAGTTATTTACATAGCGAAAAATTGTATCGTAAAATATA